AGCTTCTCATATGAAATCAAAAGACTATTCTATTTCTGATATTGATATGCTATAAATAACAAAATTAGAATAACAACAGTGCAGCATTACCATATTAGGTCATGATAAGACGTTGCCTATAATATTTAAAATAACACAACAATCCATGATTTACCGTAATTAAACAAGTTAAAATAAATCACTACCAGTATCTTACAACAATTCAAACCCATGGCAAGTGTTCTTTGAAGAATTAAAGTCGTAATAAGCTTAAACAACGGCATAATTCATGTTTGACGGCAGTAATGTCTATTTATAAATGTCGAGCGGAGTACTGGATCCAAATGTACTGATTTTCGTGCAAAAGTCGCCGGTGTTTCCCAGAGCCTCAGCAAAGCCTCCACAGAGGATTGCGGGCTCTGGTTTCGAGATTGACTATTGCACTGCATTCTGCAATGTAAAATTGATTATTGGCTGTGCATTGATTATTGCATGCATGGTTGCTCTATTTTCATTCTTGTACTTAAAGTATGATTGCGTAACTGTGACAATAAGAAGATACATTAAATTATTTCATTAGAATCAGTGCAACGTCTGATATTTTTGCTGATAATGGTGCACCTTATATAATATGGAGTAAGCATGATTTCCGCTTGGGATTATACTTAGAAATAAAACCTCCTTTGTTGGGATTTCAGTCTTAAAATTTATAGTATTTATACCTTTTACACACAGCCTCCTACGGGGTGGACATTACGAACATTTAAGGAAATCCTCTGGCCAAAAAGCATGCATCGTCGTCGCAAGTATATGAGTTGAAATTCTTGACGGCTTATTCATACATAATTTTACGATTACTTGAGTGCAAAACAGTCCCTTTTGTCTTTTAAAATTAGTTTATCTAGTTATTCATAATAAGATAGTGTTTTCGTGGACTATCATTATACACGGGCTATCACGATAATTAATCGAGCTATCATCACGGCTATCATTACAATAAGTTACACAATGTTCGATATTTTTTATCTGATTCGAATATTTTTATATCAACAGATTCAGGTGTTAAGGTAGAAAACGCTGTCCTGCTTCAAAAAACAGAGCCAGTTACAGGTAAGACGTTTTATACACAAATCACTGCTCATCAGTAAAATTAAAAATAACAATTAAAGTCAAATTAATACAATTAAATTAATCGTTTAAGTCGTATTAATACATTTGATGAATAATGAAAATCTGCTTTCTATAGTAGTATAGACATTATGAATTTACTTTTTTAATAAATAGAAGAGCAAATACAATTATAGAAGCAATGCAATTATATTTTATAAGGTTCATTGACAATTATAAAAAAGCAACTGATAATTATAAAAAAAAAACATGTAAATTCTATAAAATCACAGATGAATTGCCGGTTTTCGAATTTAATGTTTTCGATTATTCTTTCCTGTTATTAGTCTTTTATTGGTTTATTTAGCGATTTCACCTACGAAGTGACGTCGTATATTTCTTAAAGGGCATATCAGTAAATTGAAGCTCTTATAGTTTTGGAAAAAATTAGGCAAAATATATTGTGTTAATATTCCAGATTTAGATCTAAGTTTAAAATTCTAAAATTTATTTTTATCCTCAACCGCGCATGCTAGAATAGTTTTTTAATATTGACGTTAATTTAGCAAACGATCCGCAATTTTATGAAGTTAACATTCCAAGTGCGTACTTCTAATTTACCAACAAAACGACAATCAACAAATATTTGTTTGGCTTAATCATTTTAATTAAAACTAATTAAATTGAGAAACTCTCGTGGAACATATGTAGTATTACGGGATAACTTTCAAAGTCAAAAACTCTTTATGATTTTTTCAGAGGAGTGGGCACGTTTCGATGCATTGATTGAAAGAGCATGCAACCCAAGCAGAAAAGAAAGATTATCCAGTGAAGACATGGTTCGTGTGAAAAAATACGTCAAAGAAATTGCTCCTTCGTACGTGTATACTCCCGAAATATCAGTTAAAGAACCTTTCACTTATAACGTTCGTAAAGCGATGACAGAAAATGTTAAAATGTCAGCATGTAGAAGTTTGTTGGGTAAGGACGAAAATAAACTTGGTAGAAAGGATGGACAATTTGTCAAAGGAGATCAACAAATCTTCAACTTTGCAAGAAATGAAATATTTAAAAATGCTTCGACTAAAAGGCCGGCGAGACTGAATGGAACTTTGACATCTTATACGAGATCCATTGGTCACATTAAATGCGGCAGTGTTGGTGGAACATGCTTCCTTGTCACAAACGTGCTGGTGATAACCAACTATCATGTTTACAGGATGATAGAAGAAGAAAGAAACAAACCAGGAAATTCCAGCTTACCCATCACTGTTTTGTTTGATTATCTCACTAAACAAATGGAAAATGTTGTAAAAGTTGAAGTTGATAAAGAACAGGATCCCAAGCTTGCGAATCCATACCTGGATTACAAATTCTTTCGTTTGAAGCAAAACGAAAGTATTAAAGGTCGTGTTCCACTTGGTTCGATGGTTAGAAATTGGCAACTATCAGATGGTCGAGTTGTCATCCTTGGTCATCCAGAAGCAATGGAAATGCAGGACGAAGTCTGTGTTGTTGTCGGACATCGCGCGATGAAGAAGAGAATAAGGGAAAGACATAAACTATTTACTGGCGTGCACATGACCAATGAACAGTTACTGAATATTGAAAATTACCAAGGTCGTCTGTCATACGACACAACTTTTTTCTCTGGTGCTAGTAGTTCTCCTGTTATTGAAATGAACGGAAACATCGTCGCCATGCATACACAGGGATACCTTCTGGAAAGAGAGGTAGCAAATATTCCCAGTCAGCAAGAAAATGTTACAAATCAGGATGGCGAAAGTCTTCCATATCACGAGAAAGAAAGTATTTCGAATCAGGAGTAACAAAATGTCCCAAATGTTCCGAATCAGGAGAAAGAAGCTGTTCCGAATCAGCTGGAAAACGTTCCGAATCAGGAGCAACAAAATGGTTCCAGACAAGGAAAGTCAAGACAATATTCGTTGATGGAGTTCGGCGTCCAGTTTGCTTCAATCTGTACAAACATGAGACTTTTTTATGGCGAAGATGTTGTTCAACAAATATTTCCAAATTATGAGTTGGAGACATGTGAAGATGTGGTTCAACAAATATTTCCAAATTATGAGTTAAAGACAGGTGAAGAGGCAATGGACGCAACCTACTTTTGCTAAGATATGTTGAAGAAGACCAAACATTATTAGTCTGTCCGCAGTCAAAAATATTATATTTGTAAGCAAGAAACATAAATTATTCGTATTTGCATGCAAGGAATGTAATGTGACTTACAAGAGGACGTTTTAATGTCCTTCATAAACTTTGAAATTTAAAACTAGCCTTGTGGTTGCTAAGGTAACCAAGTTTTAATGCGTGTTTTATAAACTGAGAAAGACCATGGATGATAGACGGATTTTCTGGGGGGTGCAGGGGGGTGCTCCCCCCCCCAATATTAGCTATAACCACCCCAAACAAAATGTCCACCCCTCCAAAAAAATTTCCACCCCCCCCCCCAATATTCGGCATAAAAAATAAATAATTAAATAGTCCACTCCAACGTGCAGAGTGTTGATGATACAAAATAAACCTAGGAGTACACTCGAACAGAAAAAGTGCAACACTCTGAAACTAATCGCTACTCGCTTGCATTCACTGGTTTATTGGAGCAATTCTGAAGTTTTGAAACTCTATTATCTTCCCTGAATAGAGTTTACAGTGCCTTGTCATTGACAAGACCTGCCAAGGTTCCCGCATTCCGCGTGAAAGTTACGCATTCTGCTTTTGTTCCCGCTGTCCCGCACCATAACTAAAATGATCTTAAAGTTACGCATTTTTACCATTATATGACGCTATCCCACTTTTCGTACAATAACTCATTGACAACGCTGTGTGCAAACGTAGAATTAGAGTTAACAATTGACCAACCAAATAAAGACGTTCAGACGCATCGTGGCCTGGGGTACATGGCCAAATACGCTTTCTGACGATCTGGAGACTCCAAATTTCCAAAATTTTCTCAATTTTCCTAGTCACATTAAACTGTAAATATCACTGTCATATTGATCAGTAGTTATTTTACTTATCTTCATTGTTAGGCAGCAGTAAAACATTGAAATCTAGGGAAGGAAAAACTCCAAAAATGCTATTTCCGACGGTCTAGAGAATTCAAATTTTCAAATTTTTTTGCACGGCGCCAATCATGATAGCGCCTCGCAAAATCAGGTGAATTGAAACAATTCAGGCGGTAAATCTAACCTCCCTCCCCCGCCCAAAAGCAGCGCAACGGCCCTGGCCACGCATTCCTATCTTCCGAACTTGGCAGGTCTGTGCCATGCGAATAGCTTGCACGCAAGGAACGTTTGGGATTTTTACGAACACTATTTTTAGTTTTTAATTCTGTTAGGAAATAGACTTGCCTAGATTTAATCTTTATGCCCCAAATATTATTTACGTCGGAGTTGCATCATAAATTGTACTCGGATTCAAACAACACAATGTCAATGACTTTATAAAAGTAAAAGAATATTGTGTACTGGCCTACTGGGTTTACACTTTTACAGGTTTATTTAACTTTAAGTCTTTAACTCTCTCAAGTCTTAACAGACAATCGGACATGCCAAAACCATTGATATGACAAATTGACAACTTGAAAAAACTTTTTTTCGAAGCTAAAAATCATAATTTTTTCAAATTTTTCCTAGGATACTTTGTTTCTGCTCTCTAGACTCCCCCTCGCGGCTCTAGTGCTCCACCCCTAGCAAGAATATGGACCTTACTGAGGTTTGGTGACACTTTGTGTTGCTTCAGTCACCTGCTCACGGCTCACCCCCCTAAAATTTCTGGCACCACCCCAGTAATAAATATGAAAATCCGTCTATGCCATGGATACAACTGGAACAGCCCACTGCGAATTCGGAAAATCCCTCAGTCAGTTACTGCACCAATTAACTATACAAATGAGGAACTATCAGCGACATATTTGACACGCAATGTGGAATGGAATCCATTGACAGGATCATCAGCAACTGTTTGGTTTCTGAAAAAGGAACAACACCAAAACGACACACACCAACTATAACATAATATAGCTTGAAATATGGTATTGCAACATAACGGAAAGATTTCGATCTATATACTTATACAAGTTAAAAGTTGCATGTAGACAAAATAAGAACTTACTAAAATAAATTTTACTTACGTTGGCAGTTTCAATCTTTCCAATTCTTCAATCGACGAAAACAATTTTATTCATTCCGCTGTATTATTAGTAGTGGCCGGTAAACAATTCTATACAGCTAGTTGTCCACATTTTTAAGATTTTGTCCACAATTTCATGTTGAAGAGACAAATTTGTCTCTTGTCTCTGCTTCATGGTTGATATTTTACTTTACTTTACTTACAGAAATGAGAGAGAAAGCTTGTGGTAGTCAAACGTGCGAAACTCTTTCTTATACTGGAATTACAGTAAAATTGCTAGCCCGCGTGCAGGCCCAAGGGAACTGATAGTGGGCTTGCAACCATGGCCCGGTATTTTGTAAAACGCCCCTTTTCGTAACACGCCCCATTCGCGCGTCGATCGTCAATTGTCAAAAAAGAACCAATGACAGCACCCAAATATTAACAAACAAACTGCGGGGTTTTCTCTGCTTATTCAGAACATAAACAATGTGTAAATGGCTGCGTTTTAACTCCAAAAAAGCAAGCAACGTAGTCAGTAATTGTCAAATTTGCAAGTGCTCATTTTCAACTAAAATCGGAACAGGCAAATTAGGACGAATTTCAACAGAAAACATGCAGTCTCAAACTTCAAATCGTGAGGGAAGTCGTGCGACCACATTAGCATGTTCTATAATGTGTGCTTCGCTGTCGCCATTGTTATAAATAAATTGTCTCACTTATCAGATCGTGTGTGCAATTCTTGTTGGCGGCGGAAAGTACGAAATTTTATTTCAGTTATTTCATTTGGTAAAGAACTCTACAAAAGAAGAGAGCGTTCAGAGTCCAGATCGTTTCGTTTCAAACGGCAATTTAATACCATCTTCTGTTTCGCTCTCTCAGCGAAGCCTTGCAAATCGCAAAGTGCATGTTTCGAATAGGCATACATGCAACTGCATCTCAACATCAACCAAAAGATATAACGTATCAAGTCTGTTTGAAATTAATGAAACTCAAGTAAAGGTTACTATAGTTTACCCCAGTCGTAATGTTGCTATTCCAACACCTCACGACAAGCAATCCCCATTGGCATAACGGCAAAAACATCTCTTCCTTCAAGTAAACAATAAACAATCTGTTCTTGTTCCATTTATAATCGAAAAAAGTGATCAATTTTCGAATTTTGAGCTTATCGAGAGCAGATCGAGAGCCTTTGTGATGAATCAGTGAATCACTGACCTAATTATAGAATCCAACAGCAAACAGCCAATCAGAATGCCGCGTTCGTGGGCGAACGCGGAAAGTATAAAATACCGAGCCTTGCTTGCAGGCCCACTATCAGTTCCCTTGGGCCTGCACGCGGGCTATAAAATTGCATTTCGTATGCTTCAAGCCCTAGTGACGTTTCCCATTACCAAATTAACTTTCTAGGGCCTATTGTTTAAAAAAATACCCACGTTCCCTTCGCCTGAATCGACTCGCATTGCAAACGGGCTATCCGTAAAATATTTTTGAATTTTGGTTTGCCGAAGGATAAATGTTTTCGTATACGAATTTTCATACATGCAAACAATGTCGAAAGTCTGCAACTCCAAAACCACTATTAATCATACGCTTTTATATAAACTCTATGAAATTAAACTCATTCGTGAATAGTTGGCATAACATATATTGTATTATACAATTGAATTATAGCGACTTATCTTGTTCTTCAAAGCTATATACCGGAAGTCACAAACATTGCAATGAGTGTTTCTTTTAGTCATCTTTTGCCAGACTTCCAAAAACCTTAAACCAAAAAACAACAAAAATGATTAACTTAAAACCTTCAGAAAACAATTCTCTACAGAAATATTTAACAGCTGGAAACGGCACAGAAAAATGGCAAGTCGAACAAGAATAGTGCCGCTCTTTTTGTCAGGTGGTGAGTTTAAAGTGTTCTAAATTATTCTTGAACCACCTTATATTGTTTTTGGATACTGCCTTTTCTTTACCTCGCACTTCTACCAATAAGTCAAAAACTTTGGCGACAATAAAGTATAGTTTAATAGTAAGCCTCATTAATATTCAGCAGCAATCAACATTTTAGCAGTTTCGACGTCTGAACAGGCCTAAATCGAAATTCTAATCAGAAATCCCCAGTGGAAATCCCTCAGGCTCAGTATATAAAAGGCTATCCTAAAGAATAATGCACGCAGGTCGCAGAGCTGAATGCTGCATGCATAAATCTTTGTGATACCACCAACATCGATCAAAGCAGAATTTATTTTACAACAACGCATATCAATACGGTCTCTTATCTGACTGTCTGTGTATTTGATTTTCATCCAAAGGACGTTTTTTTCTGAGACACCCCGATCACATTTAGAAATGCATTCATAATCTTAAACATACTTCCAAACAAAATTCATCCAATAATACCATGTCTTAATACCAAATTGCCACTACTGATCATGCACAATATTGTATTACAAAAGCTTAGCAAAAAATTAAAAATTCAGCTCTTGCTAGCGAACTCAGGTTAAAAAACCATTCCCTTGTAAAAGCCACATCATATATCGTGCATTCTTGACCAACGCTTACAGATTACAGATCTTCCAAACTGGTAGTTCTCCACTTTAATGTGAACATGCTTGGCGAATAAATTCCTGAAGTGCGCTTTAATGTTCCAGTGGTAAGGATATAGTGGTAAGATCGTTGTTCCAACATTTTGTCGCCGTAAACATTCCCCAGCACATGTTTGAAAGGATAAGGAGAAAGGATTGGACGTGTTGAGCGATTTCGTTTAAATTTAAGGCGTTTTGTTGAAGAATATCGAGTCGGAGATAATAATTAATAATTTAATAAAAATACCGATTTGTAACCTATTAGGTTAAATTACATCAGTAAAAAGTTTCATTATACTACAATAGAATATCTAGATGCATAAAATTATTCATAACTTCAGTTGAAAAAGTTATAGAGTTCAAATTTAAAAATATTAAAAATATTAAAATTATGGTCTATTCATATGTGAAACCATCTGTGGAAAAAACGATTTCATAACTCTGTCCGTTTTACAACTATAGTTATTATAATCGCTTCCATAACGTGTATTATAGTTATGTTCAAGTTTAGGCGGTAAGAGGTCACCCAATTTGTCTCCATGTGCATTTTTAACAAAAAAACGTTTGCATAATAATCGCCGCCGATCTTTCAGTAAG